CATTAACAAGGCTCTCTTAGCTAAGAGGAAAAGATTAGAAATGTATACGAAAGCCTCACTCAAAACCAGCAACCAGAAGATTGAACATGTTTGGAAAACACAGCAGGAGCAAAGGTAACATTTACCCTTGTTTTTCAAACCTGTGAAATCAAATTCCGTTTTGTGTCACAGCATGGATAGTTGATCCATCTTCTTGCAGTTAAATAGCAAGTAGAGTATCTACTAGTTAAATACCTGCTCAGGTCCTCTGTTTCTGCTGCCTCCAGTTGTGTCCACTTGGTTAAATTGACAGTAATAATAGTTTAGCATAGTGCTTTCTCTTTTGAATGGAGAAACTTAAGATTTGGAATTTTGAGAACTAGGTACCTTATAGAGCTGGGTTTACTTTTTTTTATTTTCATGGAAAATGACCTCTGATGTTATTTTTGTCTTTTAAAATAATGTTTTTTCCACTTCAGTTGGAATTTTCTGTTTCTACTTGAAAACTGAAAAATGTTCAGTGAAATTTTTATATCATTCTGGTTAAGAAAGAAAATAATTTTCATTTTCACATTTTAAATAATTTTCACCTTACATAACATTCCTCTCGCCTCTTAAGGCATATTTAATTACTACATCTGATACTACAGGTGGAGCAAACGGAAAAAATGAGACAGCTAAAAACTGAAAGTCAGAAATACTTGTAACTGTTTTTATATACGTATTTGAAACTTGCATTGACAAAATTTAAGTTTACATAGAGAAACTAGAGCATAATGAACTAATGATTGAGCTAATAATGAATATTAGCTCATAATGAATGAGCCAATAGATTTTTCATTGTGTTAAAGCCAAGATCTGTACTTGGGTTAGAAAAACATAGTAAATCTCAGAAAACCTGACACTGTTAGGAAGAAAAGTTGTATTTTTTTTTTTTAACCTGAGTTTTGTATGTGAGTGCTGTCTGCTTGTATGTGTATCACCCACATTCACTCAGGAAGCGTGTGTGTGTGCGCGCATGCGGTTTTTCAAAACATACAGTATTCAGTTAGGGCCAGATGTCAAAATAGCCTGTTCCTTTATCTATGCCAGCTCCTTTTATTTCTACTCCATGTGTGTGTTGAACCTTAGCTCTCCTTGTAATTCTTCATAGCATTTGTCATACTTATGGCTAGCATCTATTTATAGGCAGAAGCTCAACCATGAGTTCTCCCAGCAGTTCCTGACTTTATTTCAGCAGTGGGATGTAGATGTGCAGAAAGCAGAGGAGCAGGAAGAAAAACTAGCGGTGGGTTTCCCACATAGCATGTGTTTCATGGTATTTTCACAAGGAGGGAATATTGTTGTTTAGACACCTAAGAATGCAGAAATGTAAAAATACTTTATGTAGTTTAAACAAACATACGATTGTTTGCCTCTTAATTAAAAAAATCATTCATGTTTGGTGGCTCTCAAACTGTGCATGTTTAACTTTTGGGATATATTTCAAAGTGAAGAGGGGTGCATTTATAAACTTTATTGCAAGTGTATAAATGGCAGTGATGTCCTAGGCCAGCATGTGGCTTGAGAAATGCCAAGACCATTTATGGAGAAGAAAGATGTGTGCTGATTCTGTGCATCCATAGTCTTTGGGTTAAGGGAACAAAGGAGTAAAGGAAAGTAATTGTCTTTCAGCATGCATTACTTAAAAATATGCCTGCATATAATAAATGTATGAGAAGTTGATGATTGAAAGGGGATAGGAGCTATACAATGGAATGTATTCACGATACTCCTGTACTCCCAGCACATTTGCCAGTTTTGCTTTTCCCTAGGCAGCACATTTCCCTGGGATACCCTCGAGAACTGCGCTGGATAGCAATCCTCATAGGATCTCGTAGGGGTAATTCAGGCTGGAAGGGACCTCAGGAGGTGACTCAGGGCTTAATCCAGACTTCAGTCTTTCTTTCATTAATAAGAACAAGGATAACTCTCCAGGCATAGATCTACATTGTATGACCCAATTTCCAGTGAAGGCAGAATTTCTGATTTTGACAAATGACATAGGTGTTGCTGTCCAAGCGCTTTTGGTTAACTAATGTCTTTTTTTTTTTTTTTTTTGCTTCTGCTTCAGAATATGTTTCGTCAGCAACAAAAAGTTTTTCAACAGGCAAGAATAGTTCAAAGTCAGAGACTGAAAACCATCAAGCAACTCTATGAGCAATTCTTAAAGGTACAGTAAATTTTCTTCTTAGAAGGCAGCTGATCCCTATCACATCACTTAAGAAAGCTGTATTAATTCAACCTTTATAAAATACAGAGATTGGCAGTTCATTTAAGGAAAATAACAGCTTTGCATGAACATTCATGTTAGTATCTTTCCCTTATTTGTTAAGAACATGGCTGGTTCTCTCTATACATGCATACGCATCGCATCTGTTTAATAAATTATTTAGTTAAATGTGTTCTTACAGGGATCTGATTGGCTTGCCTCTTTCAAATATTTAGCCATACTTTCTAAACAGAACACAGTTTTGTACCAGTTTAAAGGTTATATAGGTCAGTTAAATCATCAGGATTTTGTCTTAATTATTCCCCTAGATTATGTAAAAAAGTGAACCTTGACAATCTATTAAAAATACATCTTAGGCTGCAATTTACTGCTTTTATTACTGCTGGCAGGTGCATCCCCCATAAAGAGAATTAGATACCAATTTTTTTCTGTCATTAACCTTTCTAGCTACTGCTGCTTCATGCAAAGAAAGTGACCCTTAAACAAACTCAATTGTAATTCCCTTAAAATTGCCCAGTTAGAACTCCCTTCACCTCTTCCTAAGCAACGTTCATTAGAAAGGGTTTTCCTTTCTGTAACCTGGTAAGCTGGATGGTTATGTAATCAGTCCTGATTAACTTCCCTGTGGCTTTATGCGTAATTTTTGTATTATTTGCTGGCAGTCTCTACAAACACTGTGTTTTTAGACAGTGCTTACAGAGCATATTGTATTTTAAACACATGATTCATACTGATCAGCTGTGGTGTTTTGTTTTGTTTTTTTTAACAAAGTAGCTAACATACTAGACAGCAAACAAAAAATGATTATGAGCACAACTACTCAAAAATTTGACTTTTTGGTAAAAAGAAAAATAAAAATCCCTCTCATTTTACACTAAGAACAAAACACTTTTTTCCCAGAATTTCCTTCCCCCACTATTCTTCTAAGTAAGGTATTAGAAATCTAAGCTGTGAGAAAAATGAAAGTAAACGATTTGTTTTGTAATGAATGCAGAGGCACAGTACCATAGAATCACTGAAGGGCTGAGGTTGGAAGAGACCTCTGGAGGTCATCTGGTCCAGCCAGCAGGTGGTACAGCAGGGCTACCTAGAGTCGGTTGCCCAGGACTTACGTCCAGATGGCTTTTGAACGTCTCCAAGGATGGAGACTTCACAGCCTCTCTGGACAACCTGTGCCAGTGCTCAGTCACCCTCACAGTAAAAAAGTGTTTCCTGATGTTCAGAGGGAACCTCCTATGTTTTCAGTTTGTGCCCATTGCCTCTGGTCCTGTCATTGGGCACCTCAAGAGCCTGGCTCGATCTTCTTTGCACCCCCCCTTCACATATTTATGTATATAGATAAGATCCCTCCCGAGCCTTCTCTTCTCCAGGCTGAACAGTCCCAGCTCTCTCAGCCTTTCCTCGTAAGAGAAATGCTCCTGTCCCTTAATCATCGTTGTGGCCCTTCATTGGGCTCTATCCAGTATGTCCATGTCTTGTGTACTGAGGAGTCCGGAACTGGACCCAGGACTCCAGGCGTGGCCTCCCCGTGCTGAGTAGAGGGGAAAGATCACCTCCCTCGACCTGCTGGCAACACTTCTCCAACTGCAGCCCAGGAGACCATTAGCCACCTCTGCTGCAAGGGCACACTGTTGGCTCATGTTCAACTTGGTGTCCACCAGGACCCCCAAGTCCTTTTCTGCCAAGCTGCTTTCCAGCTGTGTGGCCCCCAGTATATACTGGTACATGGGGTGGATTCAAGTCTGTCAGTTTCCGACAAACCTTAATTTCTGTTCAAGTCATTTCCTCACTGGTCGCGTTTTGAAATTTCAGTTAGTTATGATACGGGTTTTTTTTCCCCAAGCCTGGTAGCTTCGAAAAATAAATCTGAAATAGAACAACTCTTAATTTATGATAGTCAGAATTTACAGAGGATATTAACAGAAGCGTTAATAAAAAATAACTGTTCCAAAATGTCAAAAATGTCATCATCAAAGATGAAAAACTAAACAGAAGGTCAAGTATTACTTTGATTTTTCTCCTCAAAGAAGATCAAAAGGTAGAAATCAAGCCTCAAATAAGCTTAACTGAATACAAGTCAAGGAAGATGCAACTACACACATACACGGAGTTAGGCATAATTGTATGTACAAAAGGGAAGATAACCAGCGACCTTTACTTGGCTTATCTGGGGAGAAGTATGCAGAGAGAAGGAAATTTAATGGGTTTTATAGTCCTTACTTCAAGTCTCCAAGGTTATCATAATATTAAACCCCCTATCATTCCTGACAGATGCCTGTTTAATCTTTTCTTGTAGAACTCTTACCTTTATTGAAATGCAGGATAACTAGCTCAGACCACACAGATGCTGAGTGGAGGGGGCTGCTTCCTTCACAGGGTCTATATTGTTTAAACAGGAATGTAGACTGGAGTACAAAGTCCTGTATGATTTGTCTGTCAAGTTCGTGACAAAACTAATGAGTTATCAGTGACCACTGCTGCTGTTAAAATTAAATTGTAGTCTGAATAATGGTTGGTTTGTTTGTTTTAAATTAGCCCTTTGACATTGAACAGTTCTGAATTAAGATTATCCTTAACTTCAGAGCATGGAAGAGCTGGAGAAGAACAATGAAAATCTTCTAGCTGGTGCACAAAGTGAACTTCGCAAAGAAATGGCTATGTTGCAGAAGAAGATTATGATGGACACGGTAAGTATCAGATCTATGAAGAAGTTGGATAAATGCAAAAATAGAACATTCTGTAAAAAAGTCATTTGACATTCATTTAATTATCTCAAAGGAATCATACTGATATGGCATTTGTTCAGTATTATCTCCTTTTCTTCTAACAGCAACAGCAGGAGATGGCAACTGTTCGCAAGTCTCTTCAGTCCATGTTATTCTGATGGCTCAATGGAGAAACAACTTGTACCTAAGTAATATGATACAAGTATAGGCATTAGCCATAGAGAAGTATGTTAAGATTTAAATGTTTTAAAGTTCCTATAAAATGCTTTAATGGATTGTTCTAATCTCATGTCTGATAATGTTGTAAGAGTGTATATTAGTATATTACCGGGGGGGGGGGGCAGAATGGGCCACAAACCATTTACTGTCTGTCCAATTAGTCTTTAACTACTTAATACTCACTTTCAGTAGCATTGGACTGTTTAAATTGCTTCACTTTTTATAATGCCAAATTGTAACAATGGGCAGAATTAATGAAAAATGCATTACCCAGCTTTTACATAATAACTTTAGGCCTTTAGGTACATTGTGCCAATGCAAGCATTTTTCACAAGCTGCAGACTTTAAGATTTTCATAGTTTCAACATTTAGTCTGCTGACATATCAGCAGTTATAGAAGTTCACGGAGTATGACATAGCTCATGTAAGATTGTTTAATGATGTGTATTATGGTAAATTAAAGTAAATTTTGTTAACTTTTGTTAGGCTAGGCATTGTAATATCTTTGTACTAGTAAAAGATTTATGAACGGCTGTAATTTGTCCAAAAAGCAGGTTTCTTTAGTTGAATGATGAGCTAAGTATCACAGCTTTCTGTGACATCTGCTAAAGTAAGCATAATTAAACATTATGCATTTTGGGGTATATAGTTCTTGTAGAACCACTGCCAGAAGTAGTTTAGTACAAGTTATTACAAGCCTTTGAGATGGAATATTACTTTTTGCAATTCCAAATGACTAGCAATTTAGGGAGGCCTAAGTTTTAAGGATAAAGCATTTACCTTTTATGTATCTCATTACAGTAAATCAGTATAAATTAAACAATAGGCTTAGCTTGCATGCAGTTTGTTTTTACAGAAAACCATTACACCTGAGTATCCACTTTTACAAATTAAGTAGTTCCTAACATTTAATGCTTAGATTTAATACAATAGTATATAAAACAAAAACCATCCACACGCCCACACGCACAGATGTGATGTTCTTGTAACAATGTATTTCAAAACCAGACCATACAGATTCTTCTCCTCAGCTTACTAGCATTTTTAGTTCAGAGTCAAGTCATTTGATGATGGTTCTCCAGTTCTGGGAGCCAGATTAGTGACGGCTAACTTACAGAAACTTGAGCTATTAGGTTGCAACTGAAGTTGAACAAGCAACTGGTATGCAGCCGTTTTTGTTCTGCGTCTGCTGGGACTCAGGGAAGGAGCAAACACAGAAGTTACATTGCTAGAATGATGTATGAGGCAAATATGGCCTCTGGTGGGTAACAGGTAACTATGCTAATTTGTAACTGTGCTGCCAAGTCTCAGCCCTCTAAGGATAATTAGATGATGCTATGAAATACAGTTAACAGTTTTTGCTTCCTGTCTTCAATACTAGGTTATTTGTTAGTATTGCCTCATGTTTCTGGTTTTCTGACCGATTTCTGCATTAGTTTCCTATCATCACCCATGTACCTCAATCATATCCTTAAAACTACTTATACCTACTACTACATGACACATTTTTGAGCATTCTGGGGAACCAAACCTTCTCACTCTAAAAAAGTTGCCTATGTCTTTTCATCAGGTGGTTAATTTGTTGACAGTATTCACACAAACTGAAACGGTCTTTACCATCTTCTCTTCTATTTGCCCGTGGCCTGCGTTCAGGCTAAGTTCACATGTAGATGCTATGTCTTTCCCAGCCTCAAATAGGAGTAGTAGGATTCATTTGGAATTGATATTAGTCACTTAGAATGCTAGTCCTTTGGCAGAAACTGTTACCGTTATCCCTCAGGTATATCAGTACATCCTTCTTAGGCAGGAGTGTGGTAGCTGGTGTTTTATTCCCTCCAAATGTAGCAGACAATACACCACTTTTAAAGTTCCTTAAACACCTCAGGAAGTCTTTTTGAATTAATGTGCAGCTAGAAAGCCGCAGTGGTAATATTTTTAAAACAAACCATAGCATTTTTTATTGTACAGTTCAGGAAGGACTTTATGAACTCACAGCTCAGCTACATATCAGCAACTGAAAGTGGTAACAGACACTTACATTCAACAGCTTTTTACAAAAACCATGTTCAAATAGTACCTCTTTAAAGGAGCTTAAGCTTATAGGGTTTGTGTGCAAGTCATGATTTGCTTGTACAGATAATAAGCTACTTTCATTCAGCTTTTCTCTAATGCAACAGCAGCCCTTTAGCTAGGCACATTATGTTAGCCAGTGGGTCTGTTCTTAAAGAAAGAGAAGGGCTGATACTGGGCCTGACTTTCTGTTTTGGAGAGTTTTACTATACATTGGGGTTTAGTTCCATGCAGTTTTGTTTGGATAAAGTACAATGATAGCTACAAGACAAATTAGATAGATCATAAGGTAGATGAACACAGCGATAGCAAACATACATACTTCAGAGGGAATTACATACGGGTGGGTTGCATTGTCACAGTCAAACAGTCACAGTCATTTATCAGTGAACTTTGTCATTCACTTGCGTAGTTTCACAGATACAAGTTAGAGTAGGTAAAGTTAGTATCCTCGAAGTACACAACTACCTATAGTCTAGATAATGATGGAATACAATGAGGCAAGCCTTATTACGACCACAAAACCAGAAACTGGCCTTGAAGGAAAATGCAAGCTACAATTGTATTTAGTAACAGTAGGTTATGTACTTAGATACTAGAGAATGCGTGAATCCCAAAGGCACTCATAACACTATTTTGAAATAGAAGAAAATTTTCCTGAGCTATACCTCCTTCATCCTACTGATCCAGTAGCTTGTTCTTTAGAAATACCAGAACAGAGATTAACGAGTAGTTTTACCTCATGGATGCCTCGTTTTACCAGTCTTAATAATGCAGTACTGCATTCACTGATACCTCCAACCACCACTTCACAGCAGTCCCAAGAAGACTTTAGGAACTAACGCTAGAAGATTAGTCACTTCGTCTAGGGAAAAGTGAAATTCCTCTTCAAATTCTGGTTGGTAGCACCTTGGTTTGCAGTCTACATTCACCAGACCAGAAGTACAGAATTAAGGGTACCTAACAGGAAATGGCAAAAGTTTCAAATGCAGTATTCATGGTATGAAATAACACAGCTGCCATGTCTAGGAAATGGGGGGAAAAATACATCCTGGTTCAAAAGTATTGATCACAATAGAATCTGCAGGACTTTGTATTTAGTAATTCTAACATCTGGTAATGTCAGGGATAGAGTGAGCTTTCTCATAAACCTATTTTCTTGAAAAGCTTAATCTGTCTTCCCAAGAGAGGCTGTTTCATTCAACATTCCCCTAACTGCTTCTTCTCTCGTCCTTGACCTATTTAATCAGTCATTATGGTTTTGAACCTGTTCAGGAGCTTGATGAGATGAAATTCTGAAGACATGTATATGAAGATGAGCAGCAATCTGTAGGCATACACCAGTGGCATATCTCAGCATATCAAACAAGGATATGAACTTCAAAAGAACAAAACAGAACAGGTTAAAAAAAATCCAAGTATTTTTTAAAATTGTCCCTACTATAAATTCAGCTATACTTTAATCAGAATCTATCCAAGTGACAAGTTTAACAAGCATTTTTTAACATACAGATATAGAGTGGTCTAGTTTAGAAGGAAAAAGAAAAACAAAAACCAAACACCCCAAAACCCAAAGAACAAACAGCACTAAACACTTACAAAGTCTGATAAACAAAGGTTAGTCTGCAGTTCGCAGAATAACTTTAAACAAACCACCTGGACTAAAGCATAATTACAAGAGAGATCTGTAAATTTACTCTCACATCTGTTCCGAGGAAAGAAAGCCAGTCAGCTCCCAAAATACACGTTTACATGGTATCCTGGCAGTCCCTCCGCAGTGACAGCTGAAATCTGAGCAAGTCAGACATGGCAGAGCAGAATGACAGGGACAGTTCTCAATCCATTCCTTTAAGTATGCTCTAAACGAAAAGTATAAAACAAAATGCTTACCAATGCTATCCATAAAACAATATATTCATCAACGAAACTGTTGAAGTACTGGTCCAAAAACAGAAGTCCTGGCCCAATAAATGCAGTGTCCTGAAGACAGATTTCACTTTTTGTCATGTGAGCCACCTATGTTAAAAAAAAAGAAAGAAAGAAGAAAAGAGACACAAAAGTGCATCACTGCAAGATCAGTGTAACTACCAGAAAACCAGCATGATATCCTTGCCCAGCGACAGCCTGCTGTCCACAGTTCTTGGGAAGCAATCAGCAGGCAGGCCAAGGGCTTCACAAATGCTTCAGGGCCTGCTGCTCCCTGACCGTTTCTTTCCCAAGGACCAAGTAACCTCTTTCCAGGTTATTCAATCAATATATAGCACTTTAATCAGTGATAACAGCTATCTGAATTATCAGCAAAATTCATAGAAAAGCCTGTGAGTGTCCCAGTCTAACGACAGGACAAACCACAAAGGCTTACATCCAGAGGAGAGCTGACAAAGGCTTCCGCTCTAAGCCAGCTAAGGAGGCATCTCTCCTGCTACAGGGATCTGCTGCAGGGAGCAATTTGTGGCTCACATCTGGCATGATGTGCAACAGCTATGCAGTGTTAGTGCCCGTGGAGCAGCTCTGGCACATCCACACAAGCTGCACAGGCCTTGGTTCATGTCTCCACTGGGCCTCCCAGCTGGTCACGCCTGAAGTTTTTACTGCAGTTTGCTCACTCCAGAGTGCCTGAAGGACAAGGCCTCCTGAAATAGTATCAGAAAACCGTGAGAGCTAAACCCACGAAATCCTTTCCCCACTACCTTTACAGATTTGCCTCTGGAGCGGACTATCCTCAAATCCACACATAAAGCATCAAGGGAAACATGGTTTGCTCCGAAGTGCCCATGAGTGAGAGCTGACACACGTACAGTGATGACTGCTGGTTACAAGGACCCCGGGGTCCTCTGAATGAGCAAGGGAGCCAAGGTGTCTGAACTGCCTCAAGTACAATCTTAAGGCTCAGTCTTCTTATCAGCATTCTCTCTCTTGAACCAAGTCAGTAGCTCACTAGGTGAACTCCTGTTTAGCCAGAAAGTCTGTAGAATACCTGTTTTCTAGTGTTTGAGAAATGTCACGCGGGGGGGGGAGAGAAATCAGCTGGCTGGATTACTGTTGCTAGCAAATATGTAGTAAGGCAGATTTTGCTTTTTTTAATCCACTGATGAAGTATTTTAATTACAAAAGAGATAAAGATAGAAAAGTTTATATCTTCATTTTAATGATTAAAGTAAATTCCTATTTCAGATAATTAAATCAGAAGTCACAGCACTGTTAGTAAGGCTTGAGGGACCACAGTTCTGATAATAAAGACAGACAGTATATTTCTAGGAGTAAGTTAAACAAAACTGAAAGTTCTAACCAGTACATTGAACAGTAAGTATGTGTTTGCATCAGTATCATATGTAATCTCTCTGTAGGAGCCTGAGTCTAGTTCAGTGTCTTGGTCATAATGAAACTGGTAACATAGTGGCAGAGCAGAATGGGAAAACTTGCAGTGCCCACTGATCCAGCAAGTGTTACACCAAGAACCAGTTCAGTTTTAGGGGACTGAAACAAGATTCCTTACCACCAATTTCTGTGAGATTTTAGCATTCACAAATCCAAATGTCAAGATATACAGGCAAGAATGTTTTTCAAACAGCTGAGTTGTAGACTTTTTATAGATCATAATGGCCAGTGTGATAAGTAGTCCAATGTGCAGGCCTGGTGAAAGAACACTTGTTCCCTGAAATACAAATGGACAGAAGATTTGTCTTAGGCTTCAGTCACACAGTAAGGTCCAGATTTTATATGTATTGGAAATCCCATTGGACAAAACCAGAGCTGTCAAAACTCAGGGAAAGTCCATTAGCATTATGCCAATGCTGTTAGTGTCCTTTGCAGTGACCACTAATCAATTTTGTAAGACAATTCATTGCTGGTTCCTGCGACAGAAGAAATCCAGTAACAGGTAGAGAGAAGGTAGATAATGAAGTCTTTGCTTTAGCCATCTCACACTCACATGCTCATATGCTTGTCTGCTTAAACACTTAAACAGATAAAACCCTTATGATCATCATAAATGCAATAAATTATGGGCATAAATTATTCAAACCTCATTCAGATTTTTAAAGCAACTTACTGCTATTGTAGATCCATTCTTTCCAACCCCTCCTCCAAAGATGACACGGAAGTAATTGAAAAAAGAAAGTGCTGTTCCACACAGGATGCCAAAAACTGCAAAGAACTTCAGTTCTAAGCCCACCAAAGGGACCTTAGCAGGAAAAACAAGAGAAAGATATTAAAAGTTAAGGATAACACCTTTTTTAAAAAGTGATTAAAAAAAGCTACTGATACCTACTAAACAATTGTTTTATTTGAACTCTGGCTTTCCCAGGAACAAGCTCAGGAGGACAGTGTTTGGAATTTGTTTCCTTACTAAGGAGAGGACGAATTTTTTTCATAATGTTTAAACTCAACTTTTGAGTACTTAAGTTCTGGTCTTGAAATTCAGCTAAATCTTACTGTGTTTGTCCTTACGATATTCTTCAAACACTTTTACTACGTAAGCAAAAACTTGACACAGACTACTGCATCACCAAGGCATGGCGGCGGGCAGGGGGGAAGGATAGTTCCTTCTATTTCACCGGGTAACACAATACCGAACCACAGGAAACACAAACACCATCTGCCTGCTTTGTGTTTTGGTACATGTTGTTTGTATGCTGTATCTTTGCAGTTAGAATAGTCTCCAGATACAAATTTTAATTAAACAGTTACCTTTCAGAATCAATTGCAGTTTCAAGGAAACTTCCAAAGGCAGCAGAGGATTTAAAAAAAAGAAGTAGTAATCAATTGAAACCATTGACTATATTTTTGAATATAGACTGTTTTGAGATACAGCATAACTACCACAGATTTTAATACTGAAGAAAAATCAATCATGCACCTACTTTATTTTCCAACACGAAAATAAGCTGTTTGAAAATAGAACAAAAGCATCTTGCAGGATGGGGAAAGGAGACAAAGTTTAGCTAAACATTTCTTAATTGCTGAGTAAACTTGTGAATTAATTTGAATTACTTGGTGGTTTATGTTTAGATTAATTTGCATTGGTTACCAATAGCATGGAATGCTCTCAGCTCTTCCATGCGCCGTAGCCAAGCAGAACTACACATTTCTGAATAAAGACCCTAGAAAGGTTGAAGATGTTAGTCTAATATACTTTTGATCCCATCCACTAAAGTGCATCTTTAAAGATCAGAATAAAAGCCAGAGATAGGGAAATTCTTTTGGACAGAAAACAATTCTTTAAATATAGATATTTACATTTATGTCAGCTTTGACATAACTGTTAAAAATCAGTACATCTCCATCGGCACGTAAATCTGGATTACTTAACCAAAAACCCCCTAACTTCATCCCATGGTTTTGTTAGATTGAAGCATTTAATCTTTAAATTTGAAAATAAAGCATCCTATAAATCGTTTAACTGAACAGAAATGTATGTCTTACAATAAAATATACAAAAGAAATAAAACTAGAACAAAAGCTATTTGTTAAAGCTTAAGTATCTGCAGAGTATTAGTTCCAGATCAGAAGTTCGTATGTGGCAGATGGGGTCTTTTTTCCTCTATGTAGGTCTAGATTTGTGCATAGGAAGTCACACCATTATATCCAAGTTAATTACAACATAAAAATAACCTACACTTGCACAATAAGCCAAAACAGAACATTAGACAACTAGTAGGTATTCATGGGACTTGCACGAGATAGCTTCGGGTCTTTTTTCCTCTATGTAGGTCTAGATTTGTGCATGGGAAGTCACACCATTATATCTAAGTTAATTACAACATAAAATAACCTACACTTGCACAATAAGCTAAAACAGAACATTAGACAACTAGTAGGTGTTCATGGGACTTGCACGGGATAGCTTCAAATACCATAGGAACTGTGAACACTCAACAGGAACTCTGAATACTTAATACACTTACCTTATAGTCCCATATTGCTGTTCCACCACATGCAGATATCAAGAGCAGCATTGTTATGGCTATCTGAACTTCAGTTACATCAACTCTATGAAGGAAAAAAGGGAGATTTAGTTAAAGAAAAGGTCTTCCTGCTGTAAGTGTAAGGCGGGCGAGGGGGGAAATTAAAAAACAGAGACTTTAAATTATCTCCTTAAAAGTACTTCAAATTACATCAGTGCATATAGAGTATGATTTTCCTTGACTGAGAAGGGCAGTTATGTGTTGTATGTGCCTCCTCTATATGGAGGCACACATCTTTGGTTACGATTTAAAATTAAACCTATACTCCTTATCTAGAGCAAGCGACGTATAATTGTAATAGGGGGAAAGTCTTTAATGAATACATTGTTAACTATTTGAGAATTTTGTATAAATTTACAGAGTTGTTGCCGTGTAAACATCAAATCAAAGTTTAAGGCAAGCTCATAGTAAATAAAATCAAACATTTCCATTAAAAGCGTATCATATAAAAGCATGGACCGTGCAGGCTGGGACAGAAGGGATTTCTTTAAGCCTTCATATCATGAAAACTTGACAGATACAGCCTGCAAAACATAAGGGCAGTATTTTGAGGACTGAGTCAGCGGATAGCTAAGCATCTGTCCTGTTTCAGAGGACATGTAATTGATATCTTGCTTTTTTCCATAAAAACATTTTTAAAATAGGTGGCCTTGTATGCCCCCCAAAGTCTAGACTCTCTATTCCACCTTTTTTGTTCTCAGACAAGATAGCCAAACTCTTTCTTTCTGTATTTGATTGATGAAATGTTTTGAGAAGACCTGAATATATAGGAAAAGTTAAGGCTCAAGAGAAAGAATCGGTATTTTCAGTAAAGCTTTAAAATATATAAAAAAATAAGTGCACATCTAAGGTACTGTTTATGCTACCAAAGGTTTTGAGACAGGTACCTGATCTTTGTACTGAAGTTACCAGCAAACAGTGACAATGGATGTTTAAAATACAATGTTTCCTTAAGCAGTTAGAATAAATTTGCTGTTTTAACGTATTATGACCAAGGTCAACATGTATCATTACTTGCTTAGCACGTGAACTGTTTGCACAGGAAACTGTATTTTTAAAGGGAGATAGGAATCAGCTCTTGGCTAACGGAAAACATTTATCTGATCTTGATAATCACAGTAACATTAAACTCTCTTCTTTCATCAGAAAGATAGTGATAAAATAAGCTAAGTTTCCTCACAAGCTTCAGACTCTTAGAAGAGCCAAAGTTTAAGCTGCAACCAGACGACACGCTGGTGCTTGTCACTGTCCAAAGCCATTGGAATGGGTAGTCCTCTCTCTCCTATGCTGTTGCGCTCCCTCACTTGTACTAGCTGTTGTGCTCACAGGACCGTAAGGTGAACCAGTTCAGCTTGCTAGCCTCGTGTAGGTTTTTAATCCTCTGCCCATTTCATGAACTGGCTCGAAGTCAAGTGACAGGGTCTGTGCAGGGGGGAAATGGGACAGTGCTGCTGGGAGCGGGCTTTTCCCTCTCTACCAGGGATGAAGTGTTGCATCTGCCCAGTCATTGCTGTAGCTGCACACTGAACTTGTTGGTTACGTCGTGCAAAAGCATCCATATGCAAGTTCAAGTGTTCAGAGTTTGCACTCTGTGCTATTAAAACCTAGATTTCTAAGCTGTACTACACTTGCTGCTGTTGGTGGCGGGAGGAGGCTCGAACTTGAAGTTGAGTGATTATACGTGCCAAAGTTTAATACTTAATTTTACAGAGGCTCAGACGGTTGCAACACAGCCCAAATCAGAGTCCAAAGATTTTAATCAGACACTGTGTGGTATTCTACATAACCTAACAGTGGCACAGGACCCAGCTGCTCTGATCCTTCCTGGCCATCAGCGCTAGGACTCTCTCATCTGTCATTTGACTTCTAAAATAAGGTGCCACTAATTCAGGAACAGCATCGGTGAAAGCTTCTGTCCATGTTATTAAGTATTATCATATTTAGAGCAATATACTATTGCCTTCATTTAGTCTCTCACCTCTATGCTTAAGAGAAATAAAATTGCGAGCCTTGAAACAACTCTGACCTGTTCTCACTAAACAGAAATAAGTAATCCTTGAGAAAAGTTGTGTCTATTTAACTTCAAACAGTCAGCATGGAACACCAGGCCATTCCAAACTGCTTGTACTACGCACTATCACTGTATTTACGTAGAAGCCATTAAGTCTTTAATGAAGAAGTTTTTATGTGGCAGGAGAACCTCAGTGCCTTCCTGTTGTAGAGAAATCA